TCCTTAAATCTGTGTCAACGGTGAATGACGGCAAGGCCCTCTCTTCATCTTCATGGATCTTTGGATGAAGAAAGTTATACATCACTACTAGTAGAATTTTCATTTTCTATTTTCCAACATTTTGGACACAGTTCGCGTCTTACTTTTGTAACTAAACAATTTTTGGATTCTTGATATTTTAATGAACGGGGTTCTACCCCTGTTTTTCTGTCAAAAAAAAATATACATATATACTAAGAGAGTGAGAGTATATATATATACACACATATATTATATATATATATATATATATATTATATATAATATATATATATATTATATATATATATATACTATAATATATATATATATATATTATATATATATATATAATATATTATATATATATTATATATATATATATATATATATATATATATATATTATATATATATATATATATATATATATTATATATATAATATATATTATATTATAAGAGTGTATACTATATATACTATATAAGAGAGCAGTATCTTTAGTATACATTATATACTAAGAGAAGAGAGTATACTTATATAAGAGGGAGTATACATATTATATAAAGAGAGTATAGCTTATTATTACATATATACTAGGAGAGAGAGTATGTATCAGATATATACACACATATATTATACATATATAGAGAGAGTATACTTAATACTAAGGAGAGAGTACTATATATATATATTACACACATATGTATACATATATAAGAAATATATTATATATACATATATTAATATATAGTACATATTTTATACATATATAAAAATATTTATAATACATATATTATAACATATTATATATATTTTATATATACATATATTAATACATATAAAAATAAAAAAATAAAAAAATTAAAGTAAAAAAAAACACATTTCGGGGCCGGGGCCGGGCCGCGGCCCACCAAAGAAGTTGGCCCTGGGCCTGGCCCGTAAGCCCGAAACTTGGCCCGGGTTTTGCGGGCCGAGGCCGGGCCCGAGGCGCGGCCGTGGGCGGGCCCGGGCTCGGGGCCGGCGGCCCGGGCCCTCGGCCCGCGCCGGCGCGCTTTTTGGACACTCCTACGTATATTTGTTTACAACTATAGTGTATCTTTTCATCAATATAATATAATAAAGCTCTTTATCTGTTCTAAGATGCAGGAAAATAAACATTTAATGATTGCAAATGGAAATCATATTAGAACCGAAATAATGCCTCTTATGAAGAGAAATATTAATGAAGGAGAGAGATTTTTAAGGAAGGGATGGGAAATTGATGATGAAGGAAAGAGAGAAAGAGAGGGTAATTGAAGAAGATGAGTAGAGCAAATTGGGGTTTCTAGAGTGAGAGGAACAATGTCTGAAAATAAATTTCTCCCCCCAACGCATTAATGCCATATTGGCGAGTGATAGAAGAATAGAGGAACGATAAATTTTAGATTTTTATTTTATTGGGATATACAATATAAAGTTTTAAGAGTTTGAGTGTGTACCAGCATACAATAGGTTTGGTTTAAATGTAGGTCATATGGGCTACTTTGGGTGCATGGGTGTTTAGTTGGTATTTGTTTCAAATCCCAAAATTTATGGATATGAATTTCACCATAGAATTTGAAATCCGTAAAATTTTTTGTGGGTTTTGGGATCTCTAAAATTTTGTTAGTTTCATCAATATTTTAGGATTTGGAATACTATAATTTGTAATATTTTGTTTGTTTCATTAATATTTTGGGATTTGGAATACTATAATTTGTAATATTTTGTTTGTTTCATCAATATTTTGGGATTTGGAATACTGTAATTTGTAATTTATACGTATAATTTATTTTATAATATTTATTATATATTATTATTCAATATCACATACTATATTATATAATAGTACAAAATATATATTATAATATTATATAATATTTTAATAACATATATTATTCTATAATATATTATATTAATTATAATAGATATTTTTTTTATCCATTATATTATAGTGTATTATATTAAACCAATATAATAATATTAAACTAATATAACAATATTATATATATATATATTATGATATAATATAATATAATAATATAGTTTGAAATAATATAATATATTATACTATAACATGATACCTTTTAATATATATTATTGTAATTATCATGTAATATATATATAGAAATTATGAAAACTAAACATGACTCGCGCAAACACTTGTCATTATATATATATAAATATATGAGAAATACGGGTATGCTTGGTACCAAGTACAAAAAGTTATGCTTGGTAGTGAGGTGTCATATCTCCCTCCACTTATTCAAATGTGGGACCACATTTACATGGGTAATGAGTGGATGAGGATGTGACACATCACTACCATGGATGGGTAATGAGTGGATGTGGGACCATATTTCTCTCTCTCTCTCATATGAGAAAACTGTAGGAGCACTGCCCAGCTTACAGTCCGGAGCGCTGCTTGGGTTTATTTGAAAAAAAGCCAACGCGAATAACTCTCGTGACCCAGCGCTCTCTTCCCCAAAATCGCGAAATAATCCCCAATTTCAAAATCGCTCTCAGATCTCTCTCTCATCTATCTCTCAGATCTCTCAATCCCTTCTCCTCCCCCTCTCAGATCTCTCAATCCCTCCTCCTCCCCCTCTCAGATCTCTCAATCCCTTGCAACCACGAGCTCCATTCCCCCAAGCAGCGCTCCGCAGGTCCGATCTCTCTCGCGCCGCCACGAGATCCACTCCCCCGCCACCCGCCACGAGCTCCTCCTCCACGAGAAGATCCAGCCTCCGGCCACGAATCCCTCCTTCACGAGATCCAGTCCGCCAATCTAGGTCAGACGCGATTTTGAAATTGAATTTAACTGTTCACAATAAGACCAGTAATATAGAAGAAATTTATGAAGGTTTGAAGTTTCAGACGATTTAATACACATCGTCTGCGACATGTTGGATCTTGAGGTTATTGTCCACACCATTTTGGATGTTAAGGACGCCAAACTGTTCTCGATGAAATTGAGTGGTATTGTGGAATTACCATGTCGGTAACTATTTATAAAGACTGATATTCACCAATGGTCAATACTTGAGGTTTTAAATTGAAATTGTTGATTTAAGAGTGTGATATTGGGAAATGGAAGAAGAAATCTTGTGACAGAAGTAACTTTATTCCATATACTGTAATTTCAAATGGGAACTGCTGATGCTAGCGAAGCTGCATCAATACCGAAACTGTCAACTAGAGATCTAACCTTGATCTTAATATTAGTCTTTATGTGGTACTCAGTATTAGGAATTGGACATGCTAGGGTATCATGATTTTTCCACTTTCCATAAGATGCGTGTCTTTCATGAAGACAAATATGATAGTAGGCTGCTGAAAAAGTTAACCGACAATAAGCATGTGTGCAAAGATAGGATCAGATAGATGAAATCATCTGTAGAATGATTCTTCAGGCAATTTTCCAATATATGCTGGCATTAGAATCTCATTTAAGTAGACTGTATATTCACTAATTTTCTTATGAGGTTATTTATGTTTTAAAAAGAGGTCTAAACATCTGTAGAATGGTTGAGTGTATTTTTTAAATTCAGCACTATCCTTTAGTCAATAATACCATAAAAATATAGTAGACGACTGAGAACAACTTTTATATTCACTAATTTTCTTATGAGGTTATTTATGTTTTAAAAAGAGGTCTAAACATCAATATATAGAACTGAAGCATCAATATTCACTTGTCTTTTTTCCATTGCACAAATTTCCAGGTGATATAATGGCAAGAAAGAGTTTTTATGTTGTAAAGAGAGGTCGTCGTTGTGGTATTTTTTAATAATTGGGAGGAATGCTTTTCTCAAGTTGATAGATTCCCAAATGCCTCCTACAAAGGGTATGCAACGTATGAAGAGACTTTGAGTGAATGGGAGAAGCACTTAAGCGCGCGTGATTCATCATCCAGCTCAAGGCATGTGCAGCCACATGTTTGTGTTCAAGAACAAATGTTTCCAGAGGGGCATAATCTTCTTGAGGACAAGGGAACACCTAGGGAAACTGCTATTAAGTACGCCTTTGCTTTTGTATTAGGTTCAGTGTTTACAATTTTAATGTTTCTAGTATGTATCGTTGTAGTATTTGTTGGTTTATCTATTAGGAGAAACATGTGATGTTATTCGTGTATGATTCTTCAATGTGAGGATAAGTTTGCACAACTTGGGTCATTTTGTACTTAGTTTGTACACAACTTGGGTTATTTTGTACTTAGTTTGCACAACTTGTTCAGAGATACACGTGGTGTACTTATCAGAAATATATTTTGTACTTAGTTCTTGTTCCTGCTGCTTTGTACTTAGTTCTTGTTCCTGCTGCTTGCGCACTTGTCTCTTTGATTGTGCACGGTAACGGATGTTGAGGGTGTATCAGAAATATATTTTGTACTTAGTTCTTGTTATTGCTGCTTGCGCGCTTGTACTTAGTTCTTGTTCCTGCTGCTTTGTTTTGGTCGTCATCGTCGCTGTTGGTGCTGGTCTCTCCATTGCTGAGAAGAGTAGGTCTGAGATGGGAAGGTTGGATACCATACGCTGCTATTCATGTTGCCACTATCTTTTCTTAGCGGCATGAGTAGAGTGTAGTAACTCGAAAAACACTTATAATTCTTGAATGTACTTAGCTTTTGTACGAGATTCAAGAGCCGAAAAGCCCTGAACGTAAATGAATTACAATTAGTGCAACATGTGGCCACAAATCCCAAAATCTCAAGACGGATCATAAGAGCTTGCTTCTGAAAGAAACTTGCGCTGTTTAAAAAGAACAAATGCATATTTTCGTCTTCACCCTTATTTGCTATGTTACACCCTTCCCTCTAAAATTAAAAGCCAGAACTTGAATTAATAAAGATTAATTAACATGTGATCTAGTACTTTGTATTAATAAAAGAGACACAAAGGCATCTGTCCCATAAAGATCAACCCAAAGTGAATTCTCAGTCATATGAATTCTCAGTCGTATTCAAAAGTTATCCTGCATAACAATACGCAAATGAGATCAAAATGAGAAGCAAATTCATACATAAAATTTGCACAAAATGCTCAACAAATAAAAAAGTCACCAATGTGAACTTCATACAGAGTACTATAACAAATGGAAGCATAATCAAAGTGCTCAACAAATAAAATGCACTTCATACAGAGTACAATCTACCCATCTTCTTCCAAATACTTGATTCTCCCATAAAATACCAATTTATACATAAAAAAAAGACTCAGCAAAAGCCCAGCTTTGCAAATTTAAAATGTGCAATCTACCCAGCTTGCAATCTACCCAGCTTGCAGATTTCTTGTTGCTCTTACCTACAAAAAAGAAAATAGAACGTCAAGACAGTAGGATAACTAACTCAATATGCTATTATGACTGTCAAAGGGCAAGTTCAAAATAGGAAATCTATATGCTATCAAAGGGCAAGTAGGGTAACCAATTCTATATTTGAAAAAAACTAAACAAATAAGAAATTCACAAAAAAGCTAAATATGAAAAAAAAATTGTACCTTGGCAAATTGACTTTACAGCTAGTTCTATAATGCCCGAGTTCACCACATCTGCTACATATACGCTTCTTCCTCTCTTTTTTTCCTTGTGCTTGTTCTAAGCCTGACTGAATTCTAGTAGCATTGCGTGGCCGACCTTTAGTCCTTGCAGATTTTTCAGGATCACGAACTGTAATCTGAGGAATGTGCTCCATTGTATGTGAAATGGGTGCTGAAATCTGAGGATTATCTTCTGTTTCTCTAACTTCTTCTTCAAGTGATTCTATGAATTTTGTTAACACATTATCTAATTTCTGCATCCTCTCTTCTGAATCAAATGCAAGCTCGAGCGCATTATTGAATTTTGCTCTTAAAGCCCAAGATTTCAACAAATTAATCTTCTCTTCACAGCTTGTGATGTTTCTTCCAAATACAATATTGCCAACCCCAATGTTACGATGTCGAGCATGTATAGTCCAACGGTGTAGGATGTAATGATCAGGTAATGAAGAAATTTGCATAGCCATCATTAGTGATAATATATGTCTACATACAACACCATTAGTTTCAAACAAAGCACAAGAACAAATGAATTGCATCTTACTGGATTCTTCATAAGTAACCACCTCCCATTTTTCTCTATCTGCAAACTTACAAATCTTTGTATTCAAAATATCCCCATCTTTGCTTAATTCTTCACAAAACTCTGTAGCAAATCCTTTGAATTCGGTTTGGAACACATCAAACATGTTGCGTGTATACATTTCTCCAGCTTGGACCTCAATCGGATGTCCAAGGAGCATGACAGACTTTGTGTTAAGACTCTTAAAATCTTCATGAGCTTCACTTAAGCGACGATGAGTTAATGCTTTTTCATATTGTAATACAAACTCGTGTAATTGAGTTTGTGAGTTAACATACCCATCAAAAAATGCATTAATACTTTTACTTCTTTGGCTCGATCTCATTCCAGCAAAAAAAGTGTCCTTCAAATAACATGACACCCAATGTTCTCGATATTTGTAAACAGTTTGCAACCATCCATCCCCTTCTTCATTTATATCAAACTTCTCCTTCATCTCTAGCCAATATCCTTCACACTGTTCAATTGAAGAACTATTACACCATAAGCCCCAATACCTTTGAAACTGTTCACCATAACGAGAAACCAAAGTAGGCAAATGATCAGTAATGTGCTTTTGCATGTGCCAAAAGCAATAACGATGTCTTGTCAGTGGAAACACAGAGTGAATAGCATTACACATGGCTCTATCCTGATCTGTTATAATAGCACCTGGTTCAACCCCATGCATGCATTTCAGCCATTCTTCAAATAACCACACAAAGGTATCTTCTTGTTCATCAGCTAATAATGCACAACCAAGTAAAGTGGACTGTCTATGATGATTCACACCAGTAAATGGAGCAAATGGAAGACTGAACTTATTAGTTCTGTATGTCACATCAAACACAACAACATCACTGAATTGCAAATAAGACGCTCTTGATCTCCCGTCAGCCCAGAAAACACTCCTCATTTGTCCACTATTGTCCACTTCTATTGCAAAATAGAATTCTGGATCATTCGCTGACATACTCTGAAAATGTTTTATGATAGATATGCATTCATGGCCAATATTGTTGACTCTCTGGTATCTGATGTGATCAATACACTGTTGTGGTGTCACTAATTCGCCTTCTCTTCCAGTGGTTGCGTTAATGACGCGAGAAATAGTGGATGGAGGCATACCTTCTTCTTGCAGACTCTCAATAAGTCTTTTACAACTTTGAGATTTATGGAATTGTTGGTGTGATAAAAGCTAAATATGAAAAAAAAATTGTACCTTGGCAAATTGACTTTACAGCTAGTTCTATAATGCCCGAATTCCCCACATCTGCTACATATACGCTTCTTCCTCTCTTTTTTTCCTTGTGCTTGTTCTAAGCCTGACTGAATTCTAGTAGCATTGTGTGGCCGACCTTTAGTCCTTGCAGATTTTTCAGGATCACGAACTGTAATCTGAGGAATGTGCTCCATTGTATGTGAAATGGGTGCTGAAATCTGAGGATTATCTTCTGTTTCTCTAACTTCTTCTTCAAGTGATTCTATGAATTTTGTTAACACATTATCTAATTTCTGCATCCTCTCTTCTGAATCAAATGCAAGCTCGAGCGCATTATTGAATTTTGCTCTTAAAGCCCAAGATTTCAACAAATTAATCTTCTCTTCACAGCTTGTGAGGTTTCTTCCAAATACAATATTGCCAACCCCAATGTTACGATGTCAAGCATGTATAGTCCAACGGTGTAGGATGTAATGATCGGGTAATGAAGAAATTTGGCTAGCCATCATTAGCGACAATATATGTCTACATACAACACCATTAGTTTCAAACAAAGCACAAGAACAAATGAATTGCATCTTACTGGATTCTTCATAAGTAACCACCTCCCATTTTTCTCTATCTGCAAACTTACAAATCTTGTATTCAATAATATCCCCATCTTTGTTCAATTCTTCACAAAACTCTGTAGCAAATCCTTTGAATTCGGTTTGGAACACATCAAACATGTTGCGTGTATACATTTCTCCAGCTTGGACCTCAATCGGATGTCCAAGGAGCATGACAGACTTTGTGTTAAGACTCTTAAAATCTTCATGAGCTTCACTTAAGCGACGATGAGTTAATGCTTTTTCATATTATAATACAAACTCGTGTAATTGAGTCTGTGAGTTAACATACCCATCAAAAAATGCATTAATACTTTCACTTCTTTGGCTCGATCTCATTCCAGCAAAAAAAATGTCCTTCAAATAACATGACACCCAATGTTCTCGATATTTGTAAACAGTTTGCAACCATCCATCCCCTTCTTCATTTATATCAAACTTCTCCTTCATCTCTAGCCAATATCCTTCACACTGTTCAATTGAAGAACTATTACACCATAAGCCCCAATACCTTTGAAACTGTTCACCATAACGAGAAACCAAAGTAGGCAAATGATCAGTAATGTGCTTTTGCATGTGCCAAAAGCAATAACGATGTCTTGTCATTCATTTATATCAAACTTCTCCTTCATCTCTAGCCAATATCCTTCACATTGTTCAATTGAAGAACTATTACACCATAAGCCCTAATACCTTTGAAACTGTTCACCATAACGAGAAACCAAAGTAGGCAAATGATCAGTAATGTGCTTTTGCATGTGCCAAAAGCAATAACGATGTCTTGTCAGTGGAAACACAGAGTGAATAGCATTACACATAGCTCTATCCTGATCTGTTATAATAGCACATGGTTCAACCCCATGCATGCATTTCAGCCATTCTTCAAATAACCACACAAAGGTATCTTCTTGTTCATCAGCTAATAATGCACAACCAAGTAAAGTGGACTGTCTATGATGATTCACACCAGTAAATGGAGCAAATGGAAGACTGAACTTATTAGTTCTGTATGTCACATCAAACACAACAACATCACTGAATTGCAAATAAGACGCTCTTGATCTTCCATCAGCCCAGAAAACACTCCTCATTTGTCCACTACTGTCCACTTCTATTGCAAAATAGAATTCTGGATCATTCGCTGTCATACTCTGAAAATGTTTTATGATAGAGATGCATTCATGGCCAATATTGTTGACTCTCTGGTATCTGATGTGATCAATACACTGTTGTGGTGTCACTAATTCGCCTTCTCTTCCAGTGGTTGCGTTAATGACGCGAGAAATAGTGGATGGAGGCATTCCTTCTTCTTGCAGACTCTCAATAAGTCTTTTACAACTTTGAGATTTATGGAATTGTTGGTGTGATCTGTGCATCTTTGCTTTGTCTGGACTACTCAACACATGATTTGTATGTTCTTCAACAAACCCCGTGACCTCCCACGATTTGTCCTCTAATATTTTAACTCTCATCATTGCCTTACATCCCACTCGGGTCTCTCGCCGAAAAGGCATCTCCATCTTATCTCTATTAGATCTATAGCCCTCCTTATCACAAACAAACTTTCTATCCAGCACGTCTCTTGTCTTCTTCGAGTAATTTACTGTGCTCTTCCTTATTCCAAAACCCATCAACAATGCGTAATGGTTATAATAGTTATAAGCTTCTTCATAAGTATTAAATTTCATTCCGAGTAGTGGCTTAGGAGCATTTTCTGTACTGGCAGAAATTTCAATTCCACTAGCACTTGATTCTCCCATTTCGAACACTTTATTTGCTGTAAAGAGATGCATGGTTCCATCAAGAAACAACTATAAAATGTCTGAAATCCCGGAATAAAATACATGAATATCAATAAGAGAGGAACATTTTTCAATCAGTAAATATAACTTTAATGGCGGCCTAAGTCTACTCCAATATTTTTCTACTTTTATGATGAATGGACGCAAGGAAGCAAGGAGTTCCAATAGAAAGTAGACAATGAGAAGAGTAATGAAAATGGAAATTCCAGTTAAGTTAGCAAAAAGAAAAAACAACAGAAATGTCTATTTATTAATGCGGATAAGCAGCAATGGACCACAAAGATGAAGGGTGATGAGAATATCAAAGGTAAAGATCCATCAATGATAAGCGCTTTCTTGTCTGCTCTTTCTGATTAGAGAAGCCATGTCAAAGCCGGATGCGAACAGAGAAAAATAAAAAAAATAAAACATGCAGGAGTCACAGAATTGCCGCAAGCAAAAATCTTATACAAGAGAGAATTAATATTCAACGGAGCTGTGAATAATTGGTTATTTGTTGGATCAGATAATTCCACGAGAAGAACACGAATAACTATAACCCACCACACTTTTGTAGATTAAAAACAAAATGGTATGGCTGAAATCAATAAAAGGACTACCATGAACTTCCCATTTTCTCGTAATACTAGAATTAACTTTCTAAATTGCAGCAAAGCAATCATAAACTTCCTTCGGAAATTCACTAAAACTAGTCAAGATTCGTCCACCAGAATAAACACAGCAAATAGAAAAGTCGCATTTAAACTATAAATTGTGAACTGTTAAATTCAATGTTCAAAATCGCGTCTGACTTAGATTGGGCGGACTGGATCTCGTGAGGAGGAGGATTCGTGGCCGGAGGCTGATCTTCTCGTGGAGGAGGAGCTCGTGGCGGGTGCGGGGAGTGGATCTCGTGGCGGCACGAGAAAGATCGGACCTGGCGAGGCTGCTTGGGGAATGGAGCTCGTGGTTGCAAGGGATGAGAGATCTGAGAGGGAGGAGGAGGGGATTGAGAGATCTGGAGGGGGAGGAGAAGGATTGAGAGATCTGAGAGATAGATGAGAGAGAGATCTGAGAGCGATTTTGAAATTGGGGATTATTTCGGCGATTTTGGGGAAGAGAGCGCTGGGTCACGAGAGTATTCGCGTTGGCTTTTTTTCAAATAAACCCAAGCAGCGCTCCGGGACTGTAAGCTGGGCAGTGCTCCTACAGTTTTCTCTCTCTCTCTCTCTCTCTCTCTCTCTCTCTATATATATATATATATATATATATATATATATATATATATATATATATATAATATATATATATATATATATATATATATATATATATATATATATATAATATTATATATAATATATATATATAATATATATAATATATGTAAAATGCTACAGTAATGTACTACAGCATTTACTACTGCATGAATAGTGATTCTTGTATATAATATATATTTATATATATAATATATATATTATATAATAATATATTATATATATAGAATATTATATATATAATATATATATATAATATATATTTTATATATATTGTATATTATATTTATAAACTATATAATATATAATATATATTATAATATAATACATATATATAATATATATATATATATATATATATATATATATATATAATATATTATATATATATATATATATATATATATATATATATATATATATATATATATATATATATGCTACAGTGATTTACTGCATCATTTACTACAAGCGGAACAGTGATTCTTGTATATAATATACATATTATATATATATATATATATATATAATATATATATGAATTGATATATATATATATTATAATAATATATAAATATATATATATATTATATATATATATATATATATATATATATATATATATATATATATATATATATATATAATATAATATATATATAATATTATATATAATATATGTAAAATGCTACAGTAATTTACTGTAGTATTACTACAGCTAATGAATAGTGATTCTTGTATATAATATATATAATATATATGTTATATATATTATATAATATATATATATATAATATATATATATATATATATATATATATATATATATATATATATATATATATAATATATATATATATATATAATATTATATATGTATATTATATTATATTTATAAACTATACAATATATATAATATAATACATATATAATATAATATAAATATATATATATAATATTATATATAATATATATATATAATGCTACAGTAGTTTACTGCAGCATTTACTATAGCATGAACAGTGATTCTTGGGTCCGAGGAATAGATGTATTATATTAAATATATATTAAATATTATATTATATATAATATATTAATTTTATATTATATTAATTATTGTATAGTATAGCATGCTAATATAATATAATATAATAGTTTTTTAATAATATATAAGTGCAATAACCAACCCAAATCCTCTCTCAAAAATAGGATTTCACAAATTCTAAAATATAATAGTTTTTTATAATTTGGGGATTCAATATCCCAAAATTGGTTTTGAAACAAACATTGTTTATGGAATTCTAAAACCCTCAAAACTTGTAATCCACCTTATATCCCAAAAAAAAGTTGAAACAAAAGGAAAGATTTCACAAATCCTAAAAATATATTATTTTTTTATAATTTAGGGATTCAATATCCCAAAATTAATTTTGAAACAAATAAAGTTTATGGAATCTCAAAACTCAAAAAAAAAAAAAAAACACTTTTTACATCCCAAAACTTGAAATCCACCCTATATCCCCCAAAAAAATTGAAACAAACACCCCCACATCTTAATCATACCCACGTGAGAAAGGAATTTTGCTCGCATTGTCAACATAAGATCACTTGTCTTTGGTCGTTTGCCGTGATGTAATTTGAAAAGGAATTTAATTTTAGAATTTACAATTCAAAGCGCTGATTAGATTTGGGAAAAAGACTGCGTGCATGTTCCTGTGGAGAAATGATAATTAGATTTGGACATAGAAAAGTAATAAGTGTCTTTTGCATATATACCCCTCAAGTGTACCCTATTTGTAAATATTTCCCTAAATTTAGATATTTGCTAATTACCCCTCAGCTCTCACACATTCGGCCAATTACCCCTCCGATCGAATAGCCTACTAATATCCTACCATATTCCGTCAAAAATCAAAATAGTTTTAAGGTAAAGACTAGTTACCGTGATTAAATTTAGTTTTTAATTAATTTTAGATAGAGAAGAAAAACAAGAATTTGTACAAATCAAGTAGTTTAACTCATAGGATTCCAATCAATGGGTTTAGGGTTACATTATTTGACAAATCAAATAGTTACCCAAAAAAAAAGTTTTGAGAATAAAACAAGAAAATGTTGAAAGAAAACACACCAGGCCAGAGCAGCTATTGATGATGCACTCGAGCTAATGGAGGGAACTGGCACCGGCGGCGGCGGCATTAGTCTTTTCTTGGGTAAATTTTATAAACACCCCCTAACTTTTGACCGGTTTTGAAGTAACCCCCGAAACCTTTGGAAATGCCACACACACCCCCCCTAACTAGATTTGGTAACAAGAACACATCACCCTCGCAAATCACCAATCCAAATTATTAAATCTGTAAGTGTAATTGAACCCTAATTAACTTCAATCCTAAATTAATTTTAAATTAGAAAGAGAAAGAGATAGGGAGAGAATTTTGCTCGAGCTTACTCTTTAGTG